AACAAAAACAAAAACAGAAACAAAAACAGATATAGATATAGAATCAGAAAGATAAACAGAAACAGAAAAAGATACTGATACAGAATTAGTAAGAGAAATAGATAGAGAAATAGATACAGATACAGATACAGATACCGAATCAAGTAAAGAAACAGATACAGAATCAGAAGCAGAAACTGAATCAGAAATAGAAATAGAAACAGAAACAGAAACAGAATCAGAAACAGAAACAGAATGGGAATCAGAAATAAAAACAGAAACTGAAAGAGATATAGAAAGAGAAACAGGAAATAAAACAGAAAAAGAAACAGAAAGAGAATCAGAATCAGACAAGATATTGAATCAGAAAGAGAAACAGAAACGGAAATAAAAAGAGATACAGAATCTTAAACAAAAACACAAACAGAAACAGAAACACATACAGATTCAGATACAGATATAAAATCGGAAAGATAAACAGAATCAGAAACAGAAACATAAACATAAACATAAACAGAAACAAAAAAAGCATCAGAAGCAGAACCAGAAACAGAACAAGAAACAAATACAGAATCACAAAGAGGTACATAAACAGAAACAGAAACAGATACTGATATAGATATAGAATCAAAAAGAGAAAAAGAAACAGAAATAGAAGCAGAAACAGAAACAGAATTAAAAACAAATTCAGAAACAGAAACAGATTCAGATAGAGAAACTGAAATAGAAAGAGAAACAGAAAAAGAAACAGATACAGAAAAAAAAGTGAACCAGAAACTGAAACAAAAATAGATACCAAACAGAAAAAGACACAGAAACTGAAACATAAAAAGAAACAGATACACATACAGAATCAGATAAAGAAACATAAAGAAAACAGAAACAGAAAAGAATCTGAAATATATAAGGAAACATAATTAGAAGCAGAAATAAAAATATACATAGAAACAGAATCAAAATAGAATAAGAAAGAAAATCAGAATCTGAATCAAAAATATAAACAGAAACCGAAATATAAAGAGAGGAAGAAAAAGAAATATAAAAAGAAACGAAATCAAAAAAAGAAACGGATAGGAAAACATATACAGAAAAAAAAGAAAAAACAAAATCAGAAAGAGATACAGAAACAAATACAGATACAGAATCAGAAACAGAAAGAGAAACAGAAAGAAAAAAGAATCAGAAACAGAAATAGAAACAGAAACAGATACTGATACAGAATTAGTGAGATAAATAGATAGAGAAACATAAACACATACAGATACAGATACCGAATCAAGTAAAGAAACAGATACAGAATCAGAAATAGAAACAGAAACAGAAACAGAAACAGAATGGGAATAAGAAATAAAAACAGAAACACATACAGATTTGGATACAGATATATAATCGGAAAGATAAACATAATTAGAAACAGAAACAGAAACAGAAACATAAACAGAAACAAAAGTAGCATCAGAAGCAGAACCAGAAACAGAACAAGAAACAAATACAGAATCACAAAGAGATACATAAACAGAAACAGAAACAGATACTGATATAGATATAGAATCAAAAAGATAAAAAGAAACAGATATAGAAACAGAAACAGAAGCAGAATAAAAAACAAATTCAGAAACAGAAACAGATACAGATAGAGAAACAGAAATAGAAACAGAATCAAAAAAAGATAAAGAAACAGAAACAGAAACGGTAACAGAAACTGAAAATGATACAGATACATAATCAGCTCTAGTAACAGAATGAGAATCAGAAATGGAAACTGAAACAGAAACAGAAAAAGAAACAGAAATTGATACTTTAACAGAAACAGAAATAGAAACAGAAAACGAAAAAGAATCAGAATCAGAAACAGACACAGAAAAGATACAAAAACTGAAACTGCAATAAAATCAGAAACAGAAACATAATTAGAAAAGATACAGATACAGAAAAAGAATAAGAATTCAAATCCACAACAGAAACAAAAGAGGATCAGAAACTAAAACAGAATCAGAATAAGAAATAGATACGGAAACAGAATGAAATCAGTAAAATATAAAAGAAACCGAAAGAGAAATAGAATCAGAATCAGAAACTGAAACAGATACAGAAACAAATACAGATACAGAATCAGAAACAGCATCATACAAAGAAACAGAATCAGAGACATAAACAGAATCAGAATCAGAAAAGGATCTAGAAAGAGAAAGAGAAAGAGAAACAAAAACAGAAACAGAATCTAAAACAAAAACGGAAAAAGAATAAGATATAGATAGAACATCAGAAACAGATACAAAAAGAGGACAGAATCAGAATCAAAACAAAAACAGAAACAAAAATAGAGACATAAAGAGAAACAGAAACAGAATCTGAATCGAAAACAAAAACAAAAACAGAAACAAAAACAGATATAGATATAGAATCAGAAAGATAAACAGAAACAGAAAAAAACAGGAACAGATTCTGAAACAAAAAGAAAAACAGAAACAGAAACAGAAAGAAATACAGAAACAGAAAAAAATTCAGAAAAAGAAACAGAAACAGCTACTGATACAGATACAAAATCAAAAAGAGAAATAAAAAGTGAAACAAAAATCAGACAGAATCTAAAACAGAAACAGAAATAGAAAACCAAAGAGAAACTGAAAAAAACAGAAACAAAAACAGAAACAGAAATAGAAACAAAAACAGAACCGGATAGAGATAAAAAACAGATATAGAAACAGAAACAGAAAAAGATACTGATACAGAATTAGTAAGAGAAATAGATAGAGAAATAGAAACAGATACAGATACAGATACCGAATCAAGTAAAGAAACAGATACAGAATCAGAAGCAGAAACTGAATCAG